AAATTATAAAGATACAAATTTTATAATTAATATACTACATATAATAAATTAAATTTATTTATAATAACTTTTATATAAAATTCCACTTAAAGATAAATATTAGAAAACTAATTAATATTACACTTTTACCAGACATTTTTTACTACACTATTTTTTGCATATAATTTTATTTTTTTCGCGTTTATTTGATTGCCTATCTACGCCGCACACCGAAATCATTAGATATTTTATCGCAAATTTTATTTTAAAGTTCTCAAACTATCACTGTTGTTACGCGCATCATCGTTCACCCTTGCTATGTATCTCAACTCGATTTCATTGCTGATCAAACATTTATCGCGAAAGTTTGCAAAGTGGTAGAAATCTGAAATCCCCTTGCTTACACCCTCGGGAAGATCTTCATGCCGAATACATTGATGTGCACGCATATACGTGCACGTTCGAATACTTTCTTGTCCTTGATGGCAGTTTTAGTACCGTAGGGAGAAATTACCACGGAAAAGTAACCGGAACCGTATAGTATTAGGCCGCACAGAGCGCAACTTTAAGCGAATTCATAGCCGACACGCGATGTCTACTTTAAGAAATACATGCGGTGTGCGAAATTATTTTAGCTGGCTATTTCACGATAAACGTCATGTTTCTTGAAATAAGTCTACATACATGATAAATACGTGAATAAAGTATATATCGCTCCCTTACTTCAAACATGATGTAATTCAAACAAATAAGTTTCTTAGAAAAGCGAGGAAACTATTTTTCAAGTTGACAGAAAATTATTGAATCAAATAAAATCGACTAAAGGAATACATTCTTAATATAATCGAATGTCATTTTTGTCATTTTTGTTTTGCAACTCTTAAAACTATCCTTTTTGCTATGATTATTTTGACAATTTTTTATACAATTATTCACTTCATCACTTTTGATGATTGATAGGATAATGTTTACTTAACTTATTCATGGTAACTTGAAAATCTATATATATACACACATAAATCTATATACATAGCATTATAGAAAAATATAATTTTATCTCGAGGACAATCCAAAGCACCGTCCGATGAGGCACTGTGCAGTTGGTCAAAGAAAAACTTTCGCGCAGAGTCTCGTGGAGATCTTACTTGACGTGGCAGGCACAAGGAAAGAAGAGTAGTCCTCACTCCGCCCGTCATTTGGGGATGTTCCTTTGATCAATCGGTCGGTGGAGTCGACGACGGAAAACGTGACGTAAGATCTGCTGGACCAGTCATGCGGCTGAGAACAGAAACTACCCCCGAAGTTCGTGGCCGTGGCGAATTGGCCGACGCGTTTGAAGTCTTCTCGAGAAGGAAGCTTCTCTTATCATCATGCTGGTCGTATAGCTGCAGGCGGAGGCTGAACGTACATATACCCCGAAACGGAGCGTTCCACATGGCCAGCTTCGAAACATTTCAATTACTTATGCGGTTTCAACTCTCTCTCTCTCTCTCTCTTTCTCGCGCGCGTACGCGCTTCCTACCATTTTCCCGTTTCTCTCCATTAAGCGAGTGACTTAGTGACGATGTTCGCCTTTTGCAGTTTGCCTGGAATCTTAGAACTTTCCAGCTTTCGATATATAGATAAATTGTTTGAGTTACTGCTCGACATATTCTCGCGGCCTCTCGAATCCGCGGAAGATTAAATGCCGCTGAGCGTAAACACGATGTTAGTTTATATGTATGAAATCGTGTACACGCGAATAGTATCTCTTGAGCGATTCGTCATGCGATATCAGAAGTCACTCATCTGTGAAATATTCGTGTTTTAGTTTATTTAACTTTAGTACGGACATTAATTCGTTTAATCTTTTATAATTTAGAAAATTGTTAGTTTATTTAGCTTTAGTACGTATATTAATTCGTTTAATCTTTCATGATATAGAAAATTGTGATATATAATAAAATATTCAATGAGTACTTCTAAAATGTGCGTATTAAGAAAGTTATATACAATATTAGAAAAGCAGTACTTCTTTTGCGAATTTGTAGTTTTATATTACAGAAAAATAAAGAGGAAAATAAAGAGAATCAATCAGAAATTCATATAGATGACTAATTTATCGTTGTCACTCTTTTGTGGAATTGTACATTTTGTCGTAATTTTGTTTAATTTCGGGGCGGTTTATAATAAATCACGTTAGTGGTTTATTGCAAGAATAAAAAGTGAATCGTTAAAAAAATCCACACAAGATAATTAATAAGAAAGTTACGAGTTTGAGTTAAGAGACAGACAATTTTCCATATTTTCCAGGGGTGATGCGAATAAACAATAATCAAATTTATAAGAAATCGATTCTCCATTTAGAACATAAGATGACGCAGGCGTGAATAACTTGTTCAGTCTAGATAATTTATAATCTTGAATAAGTTATAAATCTCCTAATTATCATTTATAATAAAGATTATATTTCTATTTATTGCTTGACAAACGATTCCTACTTAAATATCGTGATATTTAAATCTCCATATTTTTGTATATTCTTTTAATTGGAATCAATTTTCGATCAAATGCTTCACTTTCCTGTAAAATAACACGAATCGCATCAATGCTAAATAATACGAAATGTACATTATTCAAATTAAGTTTTTATTTATTTTGACAATTGTATCACAAGTGGACTCGCTGTCCAAATGATTTTCGGGCCACTTTATATTTTTCACCAAGCACTTGTTGCATAGGAAAGTGCCATTCGCGAAAATCAACGTGCGATGTTATCCCAAACGTGTTGAAAGCAATTTTGAAACGGTCATCTCGCGCTCGACTACGCTCGCCAGAGATAAAGTTTTATATCACTGTCGGCCAGCATGGGTACTGCGAAATGCAGGATTGCGCTGAAAAGCTGTTTAACCGCGAAACTGTATTGCCAGTAAAACTCTCCTGCCCGCGATTTTCCGTGTCAGTTCCTTTTTCTCTTAGCTGTCGAAGCATTCTCCACGATAAAGCGTGATCTTGTCGATCCATTCGGTATCCGTTTCTCTTACAGAAACTCCACGAAAGCTAAGCACTTCCAGGTGTCCATCCGCTTCGAAAGTCACAGCTTCAGAGATAATCTCTCCCGCTCATGCGAGATCCAACAGAAATCACTGTGACTATAACATTATATGTTCAAGTACAGTCACGCGTTCTTATCTCCTCGCCGCTTTGAGAACTTACTCATGTATTGGACTTACCAAGTATTCATACTCGAATTCACTGAGAATTACAATTTAAGCACTATCTTATCAAAACACTATATGCGTGGTTATATGTATAATATGTATATTGCGATTTTCTCTTGCTAAACTCCTCTTCATCCGCATAAATCTTGATAGGAATAATTTTAATCAATTTTTACGGATTTTTCAGTCTCGGAGGAAGTTTAGTTTCGAACTTTAACGACGCTTCTTCTTTTCTTTGCGTCTGCACGGCTCGAAAAATACGAGACGGTTTTGTTTCGACACCGGTGATCCTTGTTTCTATGCGGGTTTCATTCGCTCTCCTTTTGTCCATACCGCGAACGCTCGTGCTAAAGCGGAACGCCAAAATAAATGGTTGGGGAATTATTCACTTTACGAATCTCGGTGAGTGGTTGTAGGGAGTGGGACCAAGATAAGATACGACTTCATTTCCGCCTCGCGGCCGCGTTACGCTCTGCGAGCATCGTTCATTTCCTTCGTTCACGTCGGGGAATAACTGTATGGTGTCAGGGCGCATCGAAGTTAATCTTTCAACATCTTGAGAGAAGACGCGATTTCGAGTTCCTCATGCGCGTCAACAGGGTATTGCGGTTAAAGTATTGCATTATTATTAAAAATCATTTTTGGTTATTCTCATGACACTTATTGTTCACGATATTATATTGATAGAAATATTTAATATACAGGGTGTTCGGAAAATTACCATAACATTTCATGAATACTTTAAAGTCTTTAAAGTATCTATAACGTTTCAAAGCAAATCAAAATAAAATTCTTAACAAATTATGAATCCTTCTTTGTTATAGAAATTCCACAATTGTTTTATTTTACTGAGAGGAAAAAGTACTTAACCTACACATCGCTTGTACGACACACATTGTATCGCATGCGGTGCGATCCAGCAGAAGTTTTGTAAATTGGTCGCTTTGCTGGAACAAGGAGAATGTAGCGCAAGCGATGAATTTTAAGATAGGATACGTTGCACGTCCAGAGGCAAATCTAACCGAATTTATTCAAATCCCTATCGTTTCACCCTTCTAGCCGTAGGGCGGCAGCAATAAGTCACCGTCGCAGATCGTTTCTATGAATAATGCAATTTACGAGAAACTTTTTCCGCAGAACGAATAATATAGCGCGATGCAGAGGACAAGCATAAATATTATATATTTCGTCAACCCTTTCATAGGTCAAGTTGAAAACAATACTCTAAATGTGTGTGTAAATATGCTAGCTCTTGAAAGAAGAGTAGCAAAAAAGATGTTTTATTTCATTTTTAACTACCACTCTGTTAAAATATATTTTGTAAAAAAAATTTTCAAATTTTTTACAACTTTTTCATCTATATATACAAATCGTTTAATCATGCAAATTTGCCTCTGGACGTGCAACGGATTTTCCTTTTTGAAGACTGTTATAATAGTTTCTCAATCATAAATAGCTCAAATCTGTACATTTTCATTAATTAAACTCTATAAATGCAAGTAGATAAGAATATAAATCTTACTTCTTACTTTATTCTGATTGTACTTTAACAGAATTTTAATTAAAGGTTTAGCGAAGGATACCGTAATCGCGAGACACTTCTTGGGACAGTTTCGGCGCTCTCATCGCCGGAAGGATAAGCGAAGCAAACGGGTTATCAGCGGAAAATAGGACGCAAGAGGGAAGATTCACCCATCGGATGTGTCCCATAGTTGACACAGTTTCCTAACGGCGGCGCAGTTTGACGATCGATACCAACACGTCGCGACTTTGCCTAAGATCACCGCAGTAAGCGGTACACGCCGACACGATGTTTCAATCTTAATAGGCCATTCTCGGTGCGCAGTCATACGGTGCACCACGTGCTACACGATTGATGTTTGGACTCGTCGTTAATGTGATGATAATATCGATCGTGTACAACGGAAAGCTCCTCTGAGACTGTCTCGACTCCGACAGAGATCTACGCGCTGTTGTAAACGAGAGCGATCGATCGGGACCACTTCTGTTGTACGGGATAAATTGGACGTTAAGGTTCGAGAACAATTAAGGAAAACGTAACTCTAAATTTCTTTGAAAATGTTCATGTTGGAACAGAATAACCCTACGAAGATTAATGAGCTTTTCAATATAACTTATCTTCTCGCTGTAATATTAAACATTTAATAAATATATGATAACCGGTTTCTGCTTCTTGGGAAGATTGTGACTTACGAATGCATTCCATTTCTTTAAATTTGATACATAAATTTTGACGAAGCAAAAGAATCCCAGATATTTGTGGATTCTGAAATTCATGTACTCTAATATAAACCGCTTCTGACTTTAACTCATAAAATAAATCCTACTAGGAAGACGACAGTCAGCTTAAAACGCAGAATTTTTATTTGTAATATCGTTGCTTCCGTTTCAACGTGAATCTGTCTTTTGAAAGTACAATAAAAAAAAAATAAAAACAGCAAAAATAATGATGTGCCCGCGAAATTGGCAAATCAAATTTCTTTGAAAGCATCGCAGATTATACGAAGTAAGACACAAGTCAGTAAGTCGCCATATAACGAACGAGAAATGTTGGAATATCAATATGGGACCATGAGGGCTTAATACTTCGCTATTTTACAGCCTTGGAAAGGAAGCGTGAAAGAATAAGAGTCGAACTGACTCACCGATACTCCGATCCCTCGCTCAGCTGTCTAACCGTAATGGGAAATTCGCTAGGTCCGTGCGCTTTCAGAAGTTCCTGCAATCGCACAAGCCCCTCGTTGTTCTCGTAGATAATGGTGAAACTCTTCCAGCCCCAAGCTTTCACCAGATCGACGTACGCCTGGAACACGGGTAATCAATCACAAGCTATGTTATTATTACAGTCGGGTTAACAGCTGTCGTAACACTTTTACACGTCTTTCCTATACGATATAATTTAACTCTTGGACTCTCTACGTCGATTGTGATAATATGCCATCACACGAAGACAGCAAGTGCGATGAATTAATCTTGCATTAAAGAATATAAACACATATAATTTAATGAGTATTATTTATGTAAAGTGTGAAATACTTCAAGTTATAATATAGAAACGTATACATATAATGTGATTGTACAGGTATTAGGCTATTACGTATTGAACTGAAAATATGAAAAATTTTAAAATGTGGAACCTGAACGTTAGCAATTACTTGTGATTTTTATCTCGTGCAATACATATAGAACATTAATATCAATTTCTTTATAGTTTATTTGTTAAATATGTATGTTTTTATAATATGTACTACTTAAGTGATTGGACACGTAAACAAATAGAAATATTATACAGAAAATAATTCTATTGCAATATGCATATATTGCTAAATCAATTATCGTGCAAATTAATTGTTATGTGATTACTATCATCATATGGATGATAAATTATTTAAAAAATAGTTTGCCTTCGTGCTAGTTGATCAAATATTCAACATCTGTTGTTATTACATAAGAGGAAGTAAAATATAAAACAAAATTTACAAAAGAGATTAAAAGTCGGAATACTATCAAATTTTTAAGCCTAAAAGTTTAACTTGTGTTTCTTTACATTAAGAAAATTAACTAACATTATTGTGCCAAAAATTTTTATACAGCCATCGGTATTTATTAAATGCTTAAAATGTCGATATATGTTCATTTACGAAGCGGCAGCGTGAAAAAAAATATGTAGATTTGTGAATGTGGAAATTGTGCGTGTTGTGATTCACAGTTAGTAACAAATTGCATACTGGGACGAAATACAACGGGACATTGCAAAAAATTCGCGAACAGACATTCATGTTTCGCGTTTCGAATTCCGTTAGAATTTCGAATTCTGACAATATTTGAGTGTTGACAATATATTGCCGATGACATCGCCGGTGAAATGTTTGTAAATCACAACTGAATCGAGCGCAAACTCCATAGACATTACTTATTATCGCGGACATAGAATATCGTAAATACTGTAGTTATTCGCCATTATCGTTACATTTTCTACCATCTTTCTGAAGAGAAAAACGGTATATCAGAGTAAATTGTTTGTTAGATATCATATATTCTCAAAAGCACAGTTATTGTCCCAATGGTGATCTCTAAAATCACTTTCACGTCTCATTGTAGGTTCTCTATCAACCTTTCCTTCAGTTATTATTCTGAATACCAAATTTATAATTCATCAATTAATATCGACTTGTTAAAAATAACTGTTAATGCTACTATCATCCAGCTAGAGAAATCTTATTTAAGTGCCTTTAAGAGTACAATTTATTTGTAAAATATTTTAATGATTTTAATGTATTTTATAAAAAAAATTTTTTATCGTATATTACATTGTACATAATTTTTGAAATTAAAGTTCATAAAACATAACTATATTTCCGTTTTAAAATAAGCATTTTCTGCTGCGCACTTTCTACAATATATTGTGTTATAATGCGACGGAATGGCTCTTATGAGAGTAGCTCGTAAGAAACTAGTTTTGCAGCGAGTAGCTCGTCTATAGTCCAAGCTTTTAACTGGGAAAACAAGTATCACACAGTCGCGACGGTCTTCAATGAACGAATCAAGGACGGGCTGAAGATACTTTCGCGAGAATTCACTTCGCAGCCGCGCTTTTTCCGATAATCTAAATTCGCCATGAAAGAGTGAATGTATATTTTCCAACAAGAAACCTCCGTTATAGTTCCGCATACTGTCGTCTGTATTCCATTTTACTTCGTTCTCTTTTGCAAACATGCGAATTTCAAGACTTTTTCAAGATTTTATATTACTAGCCATTTTAAGACTTCCTTCGCCGCATTTTATCCTTCGCGGCGAAAGAACCAAATATTTAACTGCATAATACTCGTTCAAAATAATTTTAAGCCATTGGAATAATTACAATATGTTATATTACATGTTCTAGACTGTCGTCATTTCTATCTTGGCAACAAAGATAAAGTCATTTTGTAAATTTTGTTGAGCTCTGTACATTTAATTTTTAAAAATTACTTTTTTATTACGAAATTTATTTTAAATCATGAACATTTTGCCATTTATATTCTCTTTCTTTAATTTCTTAGTTAGAAAATACTCCGGCTATTTGAAATTCTTTCATATCTTTTGTTTACTTTATTATTTATAATTCTTTGTATTAATAATTAATATTAACAATTTGTTTTTACTATAATTGTATTACTGAATGTTTGCTGCGTTGAATAAAAAAAACATGCAATAAATATTAATTTTTACAAATGGAATGAACGATTTTGCTGAAGTATCTAAAAATTTAGCTAGATACAGATCTAAAAATAATTTTGTTTGGACCATCAAGGTAATTATGTAGGACGTTTAAATTGGTTTTTAGAATATTAAAATTTTTTGCAGCATTTCAGCAACACTTAAGCGTCCTACATAATTATTTTGATGGCCTAATAAAATTATTTTTAGTTATGTATTTAGTTAAGTTTTTAGATACTTCAGCAAAACCGGTTTTTCCGTATACATATAAAAAGACAAAGTTGATTTAGGTTTGCCATACCAGATGTAGTCGTTATAAAATGGATACTGACATTTTAGGATTAATATTTATCTGTCTTTAATGTATACTATACATCTCAAAGTGTCATATGAAAATAGCCCAAAAAACCAAATTTTCAGATGTTCAAAATATGGCAAACAATATTACTCATTATTACTCTTCATATTTTTATAATTACAGTTAATATCTTTTTATATGAAAAATTTCTAAATATATATAAATGACGGACACTTATATGAAGTTTGTGTAATTTTCCAATCTTATGCATTTTAGACTCATGATTTAACTATTTTTGTTGTCTTGTTAATGTTTTTATATGATGTTTCTATAGCATTTCGCCTGAATATTTAACGACGCTAAAATCGAATTAATATGAGCTGATTACTCTCAAAGTGTTGTAACTTGGAAACACAGTTAAGTAGGATGCAAGTAGAAATTAATGCAATGTACCTACTTTAGTAAGGAAGATATTCCAAACTTATCTTATTCTATTTCCCAAAATCAACTCGTCCATGAAATTTATTACAAGTGCTATGCGCGTGCGAAACTGCGATTTTGCAGGTATAGTAACTTACAATTTAGAACATCGTATCGCTCCACAGTTTTATTCATACTATTACTCGTTATTTTATGCGATATGAATTCATACAAAAAAGTAACATGTAGATTTTTCAACGATACCATTGTGTATCATTTTTGATCATTTTTTTACTTGTTAACAGAGACGATGGTGCGGTTATCGACCCCGTTACTTGTCCATTTGCGATGCTAACAGTCTCGTACTGTCACGGACAACGGTTGCTGGCGAACTGCCAAGTCGCATTCATTAATAATATGGTGATTATATACTGTAAGTTTTTGCCGAATTGGGATTTACTGAATTTAGCAAGTTACACTTTTAATTGTTTAACAAATCAGCGATGTAGAAATGCACTGTTTCTCCTGTAATTTCGTAAAAAATAACGGAATAAAGATTTTAATGAATCGACTATTTACATGTTTGATAAAATAGAAAAATTGATTAGATGATGTATTTACAGGATATACTAATTTCAATAGATATTGTACATATATTTCAGAGACGATATTTCCTTTTCGCGATTCGCGAAAATGTAATATCCAGGCACAAGTTAAATTAAGTTGAGTTAAATTAAGTGAGCAAACAACGTTTGTTTAAACTCGCGCTGTAATATGATATGTAATGACAAATGTAATTTGATGTAGATTGATTTTCTGAAATGCCTGCAAGTTTGGTAGATATATGTCAAATGGACACATCGGCCATTATATTTTTTCCTCATATATTTTGTAAATTTATCAAATTTAAAAAATTAAAATTTATATACAATCTATACTTAATAAAATATATATACATATATTAAAATTAAATTAATATTTTAGAAAAAAACAACTGCGATACAGCGCAATTATTTTTTCAAATTTATACATTAAAAATAAATTATGATATGTGAACATATAATTAAAACAGTCATAATTGAAAATTTGTTTATTTGTGGATAGATATCGGAAATGAAGTGATAGCTTTATAAAACCTAGTTCCCTGTATTTTACAGATTTTATTACAAATTGACGATAGCTTCGTAATGAAGTTGGAGGCGCTGGCTGGGCAAAACATCATTTTTAAAATATTCTCCGTGTAATGTAAAATCATTATCGGTTTAACAAAACCGATGCAATTTACGCAAGGATCCAATTTCTGTAACCCTCTCTGTTCTCCATCCAGGAAAGGGAATAAATCGGCCGGCGCTCGCGCGGAATACTAGCTGGTGCTGTATACCCATGCATCTCCCATAATCGCAGGACTTCGTGACTTCGATCGCGACAACTATGCCCGACGTGTCCGTCGTGTATTCGCACGTGCCGAACCAACCCCAACCGGTACCTATGAATAACGCACTACGCTCGCCACTGCTGCAAACGCCAAAATCTCGTTCGCTTGTGTATTTTGTGCGCGGTAATGTATCGCGGTCGGATCGATGTTTAAATTACATCCGGTGTAGGGCACAACGTAAATTACAGTCTGCGATGCTTGTAAAATATCTGAGCGTTTCGTGGCGAGGTTTGCGTGCCCGATAATTTTACCAGCTTTCGATGATAATCGACGACTGCGATTGAATCTACCGTCACAATCGGTTCGGTTGGATCTTTCGAAGATATATTTCGACATTTTTATTGAGTAATGCATTTGTTCAAATTAATATCTGCAAGCTCAGCGCAAAGTGCAGCGACACACATTTTCGTTTCTATGAATCAATATTGCTATGTTAATGATATTACTATAT